TTTGTTTAATTTCTTTGGTGTTTTTTTGGGAAGGGATACCTTCCCTGGAAAGGTTTTGGCCTAGTCCCCCTTTCTGTTGTAACTCTTTTTTATTAATAAAATCCGGTAAATGTCCCATGGCATTTACCCCACTGATTTTGGTGGTTTGCCTTTCGGAGTAAAAAAAGAACACTTCCCCTCAGGAAGCCCTGAGACCTCAACATGTGGGGGACTGAGGGACTCCCCTAGGCAAACACCAGAGAGCAAATGACCAATGGAAGGAAACTCCCACAACGAGGACGCCTTCGGCAGAGCAACCACAATTACTCCTTTTCCCTCGAGTACCTTTCGGAAAAAGGAGTGAGGGACTCTTGATGAAGTATATGGCCCAGGGACCCCTGACCCACATACTCTTACTTCTCCTACACAGGCCCATCAAACCCAATGAGCACATAAAGCCCAAACATAACGGCCCAAGCGTTGAGAAGCCCATGGTGCACATGAAGATGACTTCGGTCCTATGGCCGAGGGCTCAAAACACCAGGAGACGGCTGGATTTGGGCATGTGGAACTACTGAGAGAAAATGGCAGAAAAGCAGTAGCCCTCGACCAGGGAAGCCTTCGGCCATACATAACGCCTTCGGCCATATAATCCAGACCGAAGGGTCTACACGCTACGAAGCTTCCTCTGAAGACATACAACCACCGCATTCAATGCGGCGTCCCATCCAACCATCGCATTTAATGCGGTGCACATGCAAATGCCGACCGTTAGATGATTGACACGTGTATTCGCTTAGCATTTATGACTGCTATAAATAGCAGCCCCTTTCCCCTTGTAAACGATCCCAGATCAGAATTCATTAATATATCTGACTCTCTCTCTTACTTGTTGCTTTGACTTCTCTCTAAGTTATTTGCCGTAATAACCCTTCGGATAAGCTACCCCTCCGGCAGCATATCCATCAGACACGATCTCATCTCCTATTATCAATTTAATGCTCATGATGCGATCGTTCTTCCTAAAGACTTCAACCACACCCTCAACATAATCCCGCGCCACCATAATGCCTACTCCATTTCTGTTCCTCTCTCTCCTCGAATACCACAGCTTAAAACCTTTGGGATTAATCTCACGTGCCTTTTCTCCAACCCACGTAGTTTCTTGCATGCACATTATGCTGATATTCCTCCTCTTTATAACCTCGGTTATCTCATATGATCTTCCCGTAAAAGAGCCAACATTCCATGTCCAAAAACGCAATCTAGCACCCTGCCTTCTCTTCTTCACACCACATCGACCCCCACTATGCCCTTGCATATTTGCCACCATCCTCGGGCATTGGAGTGGCACGTCGCTTCCGGGCGACGACATAACAGCCTTAGCATTCTTATCACCACACACATGCCTAGGAAGTGTAGCGCGCCCTTGCTCATTTGACACCGCCCCCGGGCAGAGGGATGATGCGTCGCTTACAGGCGATGACCTAGCTGTAGCGAATAGAACTTTGTTGGATGAATAATTCCTCCTCAAGGGCTTATGCACAAACGCGAAGTGCGTAATTTTTTTTTATTCTGAATTAATTAGATAAGTTATGTCCTTTGGTATGACTTGTGATACCATATACGGAGTATATCTTTAAGGATGAAAAAATGGGGGATATTGAAATTATGGTGGTAGTGGAGATTTGAATTGTAGACTTTGTTTGGATGGAGGGCTTTGAAGCACTTCATCTATATTTGACATTTTTGGAAAATGGAAAGAATAACATAATATGTGATCGCATAATATAACGGTTAAAAAAGTCAAATATAACAGTTTGTAGAAACAATATACTTGGTATTTATCAAGATATGAACAGTCCATATCTTGATAAATACCAAGTATATTGTTTCTACAAACTGTTATATTTGACTTTTTTAACTGTTATATTATGCGATCACATATTATGTTATTCTTTCCATGGGCCAATCCCCCTTCAAGATCTGCAATCCAAATCGATCGATAAAGAATCATGGTTTGTGCCTTTTCACTTTCTCATTGATATAGAACTATCCTCCATTTAGAAAGATGTTGCTGCCTTATCATTATTAAATAGTTGACTCATTGATATGGGATTAATCCTGTCTGCTTTATTGCAATATGCATGTGGAACTCTATTGGAAACTCTCGAATTAGATTGCAATATTTTTATACGACCTTTATGTAATATTCGCTTATGGAATTTGCATCTTTATCATAGTGGTTAAGTAGATATTTAAATTTTGTTTTTTGCTTATCAACAGATTGATATAAGAGGCTGCACAACAAAAAAGGCTGATAAAGGAATGTGTTCCCAGTAAATGAACTTATTTTTTCCATCAATCATTGATTGCCAATATTCCGGACATAATGAGCTTTTCCTTTCTTGAAATTCAACTGCGTTCTGCAATTTCCAGACAATTAAAGAACAGGATTTAGGTTCACTCAGTCTAATCCATTTCTTCTTGATATATACACATAGATGGTCAGATCAGGGGTGAAGGCCAGGTCACTGGCATGCCCCCTACCTCCGCCCCTGGTGAGATGATTCCTATTTAGGTTGTTCTTGGGGGGTATTGATTAAAAGAGAATCAGACAATCTGTTTTTGAAATTAAAACCTGTTCTGGAACCTTTTATTTGTAATATAATGGATAATTTAACTGGTGCTTCTTGTTAGATGCAAATGCAACCTCCATTTGCCACTTTCTTTTTCAAAATTTACTTCTTAAAAATTAATAACAACCATGTAAATTAATGAATGAAAACCATTTCTAATTTTAGGAAAGAAAGCATGGTTGTAATAATTATTTATTTTACTTTTTTGTGGGAGTAGTACCTAAATGGGGGGAGAGATTGAAGATCTTGCTTGACTGAAATTGCTGGGTTTGAAGTAAAAACTTTTGGCAGTCCTTAACCCAAAACTACTCGTTCTTCTAATTTTGCAGAATGAACAAAATAAGTCTGACTGTTGCTGAAAATGGAGCCTTAAATCTTTGAGTTGATATTTGGTGCTTACATTTTGTTGATGCAGGTGTGCCTTGTGTTCTTTAAATCTTCACTTGCTCATTTCTTTGAAATGTATGTTAACCAAACGCTTTTCCTTTTAGAGAACTCCACATATTCATTTACCCCTTCCAAATAGTGAGGATTTAGTATTTTTCTCAAAAACGTTGAATATCTATATAATAAATTTATTTAAATTTAAATCAATTGGGTTGCATGTAAACTCACTTAGATAAATTAAGTCACAGAAAAAATATTCTCATGTACAAAAAAATGTAATACAAAAACATTGCATACACTACGGTATCCAAGTATCCAACCCTTTCTACAACATTGTTTAATGTTTCTCATTAGGTTGTACAAATTGCCTTTATCAACATAATACGTTTCAATTTTTTCTCGATTGATAGACCATTTGAGGACCATATTTATATTTCTCATTGTTGTTATAATTAAGTACCTTCATTATAATTAATTATCTTTTCGTTATTCAATAAATGGCACATATTGTAAGGGGTGGTTGGGGTAGGGTGTGGGGTCGGGTCGGGTCGAGGTAGGGGGCCGGTGGTAGGGGCAACGGGGAAGGGTCGGGTGGGGTAAGGGGTGTGGTCGGGGCCTCGGGGGTAGGGCTGGGTGGGGTTGGGTAAGGTAGGGTGTGGCGGGGTGGGGTCCGGGTAAGGTAGGGTAGGGGTGGGGTGGGTTGAATCGGGTAGAACGTAACAATAGGGTAAGGGCAGGGGGTGAGGGTAAGGGCAAATTCAGAAATTGAAAAAGTTTAAAGTGCCGCTTAATTAATACATGGTGGGTGATATGCTTAATAAGGGACATTTTAAGCACCTCTTTCGGTTGTAAGCAGCTTTTTAAGCACCTTGCGTGTTTAGTTCACCTGTCTTACTAACCTAATTGTGACTTTAGCAGCGAAGTAAACACCTTCGTAGTATTTATCCTATTTTCATATTTGAAAACTTTTACCTTATTTTCATATCTTATTTTCTATTTTCCCACTTGTTATCTTTTTTCTATCCTACTTTTTTGTTTTTTTTCCTTCCCTTACCCACTATTTGTTTTCGCTTTCATACTTTTTATATCCTAACTATTACATCATACTCTTTATTACTTTTTTCAATCTCCGCAAAATATCTAGTGTACCACTTATTTAAGAATGAAAATAGCGATAAATAAATAATAATTCAATAAGGAAGATAGTAGTTTGTTATAGAGTATCTGATGGAGTATATGGCCCGGGAACACCCGGCCCACAGACTCCTACTGCTCCTTTAGAGGCCCAACAGACCCAGAAGGCCCAACAGGCCCAAATCACAGTGCCCAGAGTACCAAGCAGCCCGCACTACGCGCCAGGGGTGCCTTCGGCCCCCTGGCCGAAGGCTCTACACTCTCACAGAACGGGTTTCTCAAGCAAATTAAGAAACTGGGAGAAAACGGCGAAAACAGTAGCCCTCGGCACCTTGAGCCCTCGGCACCAGGGTGCCATCGGTTGGAGGAGCCCTCGGCTACTGCTCTATAGCCGAAGGCATCTCACTCGACAGGATATCCGCCTCACATGCGTACAGATCACTGTACCCTGCACAGACGTCCCATCCAACAGCCGCATTAAATGCGGCCACATGCGGCTGCCAGCGCCAACCAGTTGAGGTGACCCCTCGGCCAATGAGCGCTTGACACGTGTCCCTGTCCGGCATTTATTGCTACTATAAATAGCACCCCATTTCCCCATTTGTAACCACGCTGAAAACACGTCATTCATACTGAATACACTCTCTCTCTACATTTACTTGCTTACTCTGACTTCTCTCTAAGTTATTCCCCGCAATAACCCCTTGGATATATACCCCGGGTAGACTATCAATCATTTGGTGCTCTCGTTGAATTATATATATATATATCTACCATCTTATAAGCATGAATAATGTTAGAGGTATAACGGGCATACAAAAAGTGTTGGTGTCTCTATGTGCATTAAACAATTGTACTCCACGCTGACTTCACTGCTCGATCCCAAGCAAAGGAGTGAACCCTTCCGTTTACACAAGATGGTATTCTTCGACGCTCTGGTTCAATTTGGAAGAGTTGTATCTCCCCAGTTAATTTCATTCTATACCGTAGAGGCCAACTTCTCTGGTTAATATAACCTCTGAGACCATCCAATATTTTCCCAGCCTCTTGAGTTACTATGGATACGATATGGAAGATGGATGGCTAACAACAATTCACGTGAGACTCCGACTGTTCTGGATTCTGCGGCGACCGGTCGAGGGAAAGAAACTCCGACTGTTGTCAAATCTTGCAATTCTTGGTCAATTTTGTTTACAAGCTATGGGTTGCAGATAGAAAGAAGCATAAGGCTGACACAAAATATAGACCGAAAAGTCATGGCGTCCTGAACCATGGTGAATCAGGATCTTGTAGTCATGTCTTTGTTCGGGGGTCATCTGTAAGGCATCTCTCAGGGTTTATGCAGCAGAGAAAACTTCCTTCGATGATCTAAACCCAATCTCAGACAACTGCCGCCTAGCCAATCTGTGAGGGGTGTTCTACAACCTTCATCACCTAAAGAGGTAGATGTTTCCGCACTCCCACTAACCTGCTTCTCCCCCCCCCCCTTCCGTCCATGGTTGCTCATCTTCTAGCTAGATCCAACTTGTTGATTACTAGAGATATAGAATGGGCAAATCTTGTTATTGGCTTTGAGCAAGTAAGCTCTTTAATTATTTGACATAATTTCCCTTGTGTAATAAGGTTAGTTGGTTCACCACTTCATAATTTTTAGAGTTGAAAACGGTTATGACTTTGCAAGCATGCTCTGGTTAATGCTTATTACTTCATACAAAAGTCAAATTGTTAGTAATACAGAGCTTCTGTATGCTGCATACATTTGCTCGCTCAGTTTCCGGCATTCACACTAAAACTAATAATGTTAGAGACTTGGAGCTTCTATATGACGCTTGCTCATCATTTTGATGATGACTCAATTCAAATTTAGAAAAGAGAGGAGATTGTGACAAGTCCAAGCCCTTGAGTACTTTTAAGAAACTTTCTCAATGTGCATGATGATTATACTGATCAATTTTTGTATAAGCTCCCCAGAATTGATTGACGAATTTGTTTGTTTTTTGCAAATGTTTTTGTAAGAGTTCACCAACCATCCTTTCATTTATGAAGTTTTGCTTATTGAAAATTAGTTGGCCCTTAGGTAATCCTCTTAATAGCAGTTTAGAAGGTGGCAGCTAAGGGGGATTAAACTTATGATCTGCAATCCAAATAGGTGGCAGCCAATCACCCATTTGTACCATACTCAACTTATAGGTTATTAAACTTTACCACACACGCTATTAGTGTGGCAGCTATCTTCTTGCTGAAACATCCACATAAAATCTTTTAAATCAGTGTATTTAACTCACTTTTTTAAAATAAAAAGAGTGCCCATGACTTTTTTAAAACAAATCATAGTTGCAGCATAGTTAAAACTAAGATTAAAGGTAAAATTGAAAAGTGCCATCCTTAGGTTTCATATAAACTACGTAGAATATAATGTCCTAACTAACCTAGGAAGACTAAAAAAATACAGATTTACAAATATGGACTTCTTTATTAAGTACGTTGTGCCATTTTCAGCCCTTGATACATCAACATATAATAGTATGTACTATGTAGCCTCTTTCTTTACATCCAAAACTGTTGAACCTCAGAAAGTTAAATGACAATAAATTATGCAGAAAAGAGAGTAGTTCAAAGAAAGTAGTTCAACACTAATTTTCTGTTTGAACCTCACCAAGTTAAAGGATTATAAGTTATGCAGCAAGGATGAACTAAAGAATGAAATAAAGCTTGGCGACCATATGAGAGTCCATGCTTATTAAATTGATAATAGAATTTCATTCTTAATAGAAAGTAATGAACTTGAAACTAAAACCAATTAAAAGCATCAAATGTAAAAAACAGGAAAATAGTTAAAAACTTTTCAGAATAAGAGATAGCAATTAGTTATTCTGTATGTTTTCTACTTTTTGGTGTTTAAATGAACTCTCTTGTTTCATTCCGCATTACTATGTATAAAATAACTTTTCAGCAGGAAAACATAAAATGCCCAAACTGGTACATGCAATTTAATTAAACACTCTGTTAGTATCGTTTTCAGTTTTCCACCTTTTACAACTTTTTTTTGCTGGAGAGATTGTTGACAGTTTGAGCTCAGCGTGTTTCATCTGGGGATGAGATAATTTTTCACGTTACATTATACCTATCTATAGCTTGTCTGCCGTTTTAGTTAAGTTTTTGAACAGTCTTTCCTTCAAAAATAAATTAATAGCCTTATTAACTGTTTATCTTCTTTGCTTACTCATATGGGAAGTGATTCTTTTTGAAACTTTAATGGTGTCATGAGTCTGGTTCAGTTAATGAATTTTAAATAAAATGAAAATAGAACATTGATAATTATTAAAATTAAGTATATTTTGTTGAAGTTAACTTTGTACCTATATGTAACTATTGTGTTTAACCCTTTGATATAGGAAAGTCATGATTGCTTTCTTGAATGATTCCTCCTAAAAAGGAGGTACTGCAACAGTACTATACCTCAAGTGTTTAATTACTTGTATAAACAATAAGATTAAGTCTGCATATGCAATGGGATTCAGGTGATTTTGAAAGCTCATGTAGTAAAATGTGGCATAATAATTAATAATTTTTTTACAAGAGTTCTTTTGTTCTCACCTTGTTAACTTCTTAATTTTTTCGTTGGTGCATGAGCTTTTCTTAGACCCATCCCAGGGAGACGGTAAATAATCACAACCACTCAATATGCACATCTCAAGAACCATCTACTTTGTGAAACCATTAAAGTTTAACTCCTTGTTCTATTGCAACATGAAAAACTAGAATTCAACTCCTTGCCCATACTTGTCCATTTTGTATATGATCTGTATATCCAAATTTATTATGATCCATGATAGAAAGTTGGTTGCGCAAAAAAACTCCTTTATAACTAGATAGCTTGCTCCGGGTCAAACAAAGGCAATCAAATCCGAGTCCTCGATTGAAACTGCATCGACGGATCGACCTGTTTCACTCATATATTCACTCAACCTAAACCGATGAATTAATATTCCTAAAATGGCCTTGGGCATTACCACGAACGCTCAACGCGCGTTACTAAACTAGTATGAAGATAAGTGTGATTAAAGCAAAGGATTATGCTAATAACCACCTTACTCCATCATTAGGAGATTCCTTAAGCACTAATAATAAAACTAAGTGCATTGTTCTACTTGTAGTATAAGGAAATAGTTGCTTAAACACTAAGAAAACTAAGTGTAGTGAGACGGGAAATCAAGCCACCCGGACCCCGTGAGACTCGTGCCATCGGTTATCTCGGGGTGCCATGTGCTCATCGAGCTCTTGCTAACATCTTTCCTGACTACTCAATCACTTGTGTTAAATTGTGTTATAATTGAGAATCTTGGGCTGAAAATGACTAGGTGTAAATTGTCTCACTCAAACAAGAGTCTAAAGACAATTCAAGAGACATCGAGTTCTCCAGTACGTCACGGCAAGGGTCGGAAACGCATTGTGGGCCACCACCATGGCACGCACCACCACCATGAAACGCATCGTGGGCCACCTTCAATTTGTGGTTTCATCGAGTTTCTCTGAGTATGTCCGAAGTCACTCTCATACTTATGTTCCTTCCAATGTGAGATACTCGATTCAAGTAGACCGATTTCAATAATAGATCAGATTAGACCAAAATTGACTTGACTTAAATATGACATATTAAAATAGAAAAAGTTTAAACAATAGTAAAACTCATATAAAATAGATATCTACTAAAACAAAACAAACTTAGGGTGTTTTCATCTAGGCTAAAATTTTGTGGTCTGGTTCGACCTGATTTGATTTGACTTGTTAGATGTCTAATTTATGTATATTTTACAACTGCTAAAGTTTAGTCTGATCAGGTTTGAAACCGAAATATGTCCAAATAAAAACATCCTTATTTAGACCAAATTAGTCTAATTGAAATAAATAAGTTCAGTTCAATTAAAAACATCTGAAATATCTTAAATGATGAAAGATAAAAAAAAGTGGAGTATGTGTCATATTTAGGGGAACACATGTGCTTTAATTTCTATTTTAAGAAATTTATCCTTGTCACAACATCAAAAACATAAATGTATCCTTTTCACGATAAAATTAAGTGTCCCTCATTTTTCTGTCAAAAATATTATTGTACACTTCTTTTAATTCACTTCAATCGTAATAGGACAACCAACCAACTCTGTTGTCCCAAAATATTTTAAACACAAAATAACAAATATATTGTTGTAAAATCATTAAAATAACATGTGTGAATGTCCATCCTTGTAATCAGGACACTAATCAAATTTCAGTCCTTGTAATAAGACAGAAGGCTAGGTTTAATGTTGTCAGCAAAATATGTAGAAATACTCTTTGATGGATTCATCACCAAGCCCAACTAATATAAATAGGGCTTGATCAACCTCTTGTAAATTCATTCAGAAACTCAGAAATTTCATATTAAGAAGAAGTAATTCAGAGGTTTTATTTATATATCTATCTCATAAATTTTAGTCTTCATCTTCTTCATTTCACAACACGTTATCAGCATGAATGTGCTCAAAAGCTTTTCAAGAAATCGTCATCTCCTGCAGATATGGATCACTCAAATGATAAAGAGCTATGTCTGATAGACAGCGCCAAACACACGCTATTTTGAGAAATAAAATATATTTTTCTCAAATGACTTTAGTTGAAGCTAAAGTCAATACAATATCAGGTGTTGCGAAGCTCATTGAAGGATCTGGGAAAGCATATGTGATTCTCCCTAACGGTACAAAAATAATTATAAATGACGCTTTATACTCCAGCAAATCACGGAGAAATTTATTGAGCTTTAAAGATATGCGTCAAAATGATTATCACATAGAAACCATGAATGAAAATCAAAAAGAATATCTTTGTCTTACGACAACTAAATCTGACACTAAATATATTTGTGAAAAAATGCCAGCTTATTCCTCAGGACTATATTTCACTTAAATTAGTCCATTCGAAATAAATTTGGTTTCTAACACAAAATTAGATGATCAGAAAATATTCATGTTGTGGCATGACCGTTTAGGTCACCCAGGCCAGGTAATGATGCATAAAATCATTAAGACTTCACTTGGACACCCATTAAAAAATATAAGGGTTCCATTATCACGTCATTTTCCTTGTAAGGCATGTTCTCTTGGCAAAATGATCATCAGGCCTTCTATGAAAAAAATTGCAACTGAATCACCTGCATTTTTAGAAAGGATTCAAAGAGATATTTGTGGGCCGGTTGCCACACCATGTTGACCATTTCGATATTTTATGGTGTTGATTGATGCTTCAACACGTTGGTCACATGTGAGTCTTTTATCGACTAGAAATTTAGCATTTGCTAAACTCCTTGTTCAAATTATACGATTAAGAGCTCATTTTCCGGATCATTCTATAAAGAGAATCCGACTTGACAATGCAGGAGAATTTACACCCCAATCATTTAACAACTATTGTATGTCGATTGGGATTGATGTGGAGCACCTTGTTGCTCATGTTCATACACAAAATGGTCTTGCTGAATCTTTGATTAAACGATTACAATTAATTGCGAGACCATTACTAATGAAGTGCAATTTACCTTCATCAGCTTGGGGACATGCTATTCTGCATGCAGCAAATTTAATTCGGCTTAGAACGACCGCATATCATGAATATTCCCTAATGCAATTAGTTACTGGACAAGAGCAAAACTTAGCACACATAAAAATATTTGGTTGTGTTGTTTATGTTCCGATTGCTCCACCTCATCGTACAAATTATAGAGGTTTGATTTCAAACCTTTTGTCATTTAATTGAATTTATTGAATTTTATCTATTTTTAGATTTATATTAGTATAGATTTAATGGTAGAAATGGTGTCTATGATTATTTATAGCACAAATGGTGTCTTTAGTTATTTTTTGTTCAGATTATAATCACCATTAGACTCCTTACCTGCATATGTTTATTAGCCCCACTTATTAATTCATTTTTGTTGGAGCTAGTAGCTAAGGCTGGGGCAGAATATATATGAACCGAACGTAAACAAAAACTGATATTGTATGGTATGAATTGATCTGGTTTGATATAAATCTAGTCTATCTGGGACTGATTACAAAAACTTGTCGACACTATGATAATAAAAAACGACTCTCTTTGTGCAAATTGACTAATATGATTTTACAAAACTTTTCTATTTTATTTGTGAAGATGAGTGGAAGCTGGATGTACGATAAACGGAACACATTGGAATTTATGAATGGGGTGGCTGAATTTTGGAAACGTTGTTTTAGAATATAGAGCATTGACTGGTTGTGATGAGTTATATTGTCCTTGTGTTGATTGTGCCAACGTAAATTCATTCCGGTCAATAGAGATGATCAGAGAACATTTAATTTGTCGTGGATTTAGACAACAATACTATGTATGGATATGGCACGGTGAGAAAGGAGTATATAGAGATAATATAACAGATGCAAATAATATGACACGTTCTGAGGCTGAGGGTGTGAATAATGAAGACAATGAAGGTGAAGGTGAAGGTGAAGGTGAAGGTGACGGTGAAGGTGACGATGACGATGAAGGCGAAGGTGAAGATGATGATGATAATGATGATCATGATGATGATGATGATGATGATGATCTGAGTGACGAAGTAGATCCTATGGATGAGATGATGGGTGGAGCCAAAGACTATTGTAGTGGACGACCACGTATTTTCGAAAGTTTGTCACAAGCAGCAGAAAAACCATTATATCCTGGGTGTACAAAATACACAAAGCTTTCTGCCGTGATAACACTTTATAATGTGAAAGCCAAGAATAATTGGAGCGACACAAGTTTCACACCTTTGTTGGAAGTATTACATGACATGCTTCCTGACGGAAATGAAATGCCAAAGTCAAATTATTATGCGAAGAAGCTCATGTGCCCTTTGGGTTTAGAGTACCAAAAGATTGAAGCATGTCCGAATGATTGTGTCTTGTACCGAAATGAATACCGCATGTTGAACAAGTGTCCACGTTGTGGTAAGTCACGGTACAAACGTGATGGCGTTGACTCAAAGAGTGATAAGAAAGGGCCACCAGCAAAAGTGTTGTGGTATCTTCCCATAATACTGAGGTTGAAGCGTCTTTTTTAGATGAAGACAAATGCAAAATATTTGAGGTGGCATGGAGAGCATCGGAAGAAAGATGGGATGCTAAGACATCCAGCAGACTCTCCCCAATGGAAAACTATTGATGCATCATTTCCGGATTTCGGCAAGGAAGTGCGGAATGTAAGACTAGCTCTATGTACGGATGGAATGAATTCATATGGGAGCTTTAGTAGTCAACATAGTACATGGCCGATTCTTTTGGTTATATATAAGTATATAACCTGCCACCCTGGTTGTGCATGAAGCGCAAATGTATGATGTTGTCGCTTTTAATATCTGGACCTAAACAGCCCGGGAATGACATTGATGTCTACCTCGCTCCTCTCATTGATGATCTGAAAACATTGTGGGATGAAGAAGTTTCAGTCTTTGATGCACATATTCGTGAGTACTTCACATTGCGTGCCATGCTGTTTTGTACAATCAATGATTTTCCCGCATGCGGGGATCTATCCGGATATAAGGTGAAAGGAAAGAAACCTTGTCCCATTTGTGATGATGACCTGCACTCCACATATCTACCTCATTGGGGGAAGTATGTGTATATGAAAACCCGGAGGTATCTTCCTCGGCATCACCCTTATAGCAAGAAGAAGAAAGCATTTGATGGAGATGTTGAGTTGAGATCTGCTCTTAGACCCTTAACTGGAAAAGAAGTTTATGAACGTCATAAGGGTGTTGTGCATGTCTTCGGCAAATCAAAAAAGAAGAACAAAGAGTCTACCTCTTTATGGAAAAAAGAGTCCATATTCTTGAAGCTTCCTTATTGGCAGCACTTGACAGTTAGACACTGTCTTGATGTGATGCACATTGAAAAGAATGTTTGTGATGCTATTATTGGGACATTATTGAACATCCCAACAAAGACAAAAGATGGCATACATGTCCAGAGAGAGATGCAAGAAATGCAAATTCGACCTGAATTGTGGGTGCAAGATAAGAGCGACAAAGGAAAAAAGAAGTCTACATTTACTCTACCTCCCGCTTGTTATACCTTGTCTGTAGCTAAAAAACGAATCTTTTGTGAGTGTTTGTACAATAGAGATGCTTTGTACTATGCTCGTGGAGAGAAGGTAGACCACGATGGCCGTGTTGTTGGATATGGTGGCACTAATGTTGGCCATACGAAAGCATTCGGCAAAAAGTCAAGTCAATCACAGTGTAGTGGATGTTCTTCACAAAGCATCGAGTCCATGAAGGCCTCATTAAGGGAAGAGTTTAAGGAACAAGTGAATGAGACAGTGAAGCAAAACGTGATCAACATCTTGAACGAAATGGGTCTTACAAGTTTTAACTTCTCCAGTGGTGCTTCTATACCGATGCCCTCAACATCAATAAATCACGCACCACATCCATTGCCAAATGATGAGTTGCTGGTATTTAGTAGTTGTTTTATTTGTGAATTACCTTTTGTATATATGTTAAGGATATGCATTTATTTATTGCCTTTGAATGTTCTAAATGTGTTTGTAGGGTCCAAGAGCATGTCGTCTGTTTTTGAATGATTTTGGAACCAGACGATTGTTTGAGGTGGGTCGTGGCACAACATTTCCTTCTGGAACTGGAGTAAGTTGTCATCACATGCCAATAATGGAAGGCCACTTAAAGGTGGGCGTAGACACCATTTTGAATGACTATGTGGGTGCCACACTTCCAGTACCTGTTCCCACTGTGAATCTTTTTACCATAGGCGATGCCCAAGGTAGTTTTGTTCAATGGCCGGTTGATTGGGTGAAATTTGTAAGTGAGGTAATTATAAAAGTATATATATTTTAAAGTATGCGTGTGTATAAGTGTATTTACTTATTTATGAGTTTCTTCACATATCCAATGTATTTATGTGATATTTATTTATTAGTTAGAAATGACATGTAGGTCACGAGTAGTAAACCATCAAAGGGCAAGAAGAAATTGGATATCCGTAAAAAACCGGTCAAACGATCTTTAGTATCTGATGGTGTCTTGTTGGCACTCAGTAAAGATTGCAAGTGGTTGCACTCGATTATAGCATCTCGGAGTAGCGACGATCCCTTTGGAATTACTTTCGATGCTCGCATGTTCCAATATAAATCAAGTGATGGTGATGACATTTTAACAACGAGGACATCTCTCAGTTTTTGTCCAGTGCAATGATTAATATATCCATTATTCAAGTATTCATCAAGTAAGATATAATAACTGTATTACTTATTATACTACTATGGTGTTCAATTTTCATTATATATTAGATTGATTTTTTATAGAGTAATGCATGAGTATGCCGAGGGTTTGAATACAAATGCGCAAATTAGATGGATGTGTCCTGATGCAATTTGTGCAACTTCATGTGACCATAACCCAGAAGATGTGAGAGAGTACATACACCGAGCCATCATTGAATCTCGCAATTCTGGTGTAGATATTATCTTTGCTCCTTATTACAAAAAGTATGCATTCATACCTACTTATATTAATTTCATTTATCATTGTTATTAACATTAACGATATATTTATATTTATGTTTATGTGTTTATTACATAATGTGCATCACAAATTACTCGTGTAGTTATCATTGGGTATTGCTTGTGGTATGAGTCTCACGTGGCATGATCTTTATGTATGATTCGCTTCGCACTAGCCCAATGCGCCGCTTATTAATCATGTCATTGTTTAGCAGGTTAGGTTATTGTTTAGATATGTCAAATTTGCATTCACATTATTTTATGATTGTTTTGTTTTAACTTTGAATGTTTTCGTTATAGTGTTTTTCGAAATTTGTGCGGTGATGGTGAAAATAAGCAAAAAGTGATTTGAAAGCAAATGAAGGTATTAATGAGTATATATGTACTTTGAGTCGTCTATTAAGTATTGTGTTATTTGTATATTTCTTTGAAATATTAGTGCGTAATCAAATAGTTTGAATTGTTGAAACTATGTCTTTCCATGTGTATCTTTATGTTTCAGTGTGCGAAGCAAACGGGTGGATTGGAGTGTGGATATTATGTAATGTGATTCATGTACGATGTGGTAAAGTGTATTGGTGATGGTCAAAATATGGAGCAGGTACATTTTAATAATTCTTCTAGTATGTTTTTTTATTGAAATAATTTATAATTAATTTCAAGTACATTTTTATGATTGGGTGGATATATTGTGCTTGAGTGAGTGAGTTTGTATTTTATTGAACTGTTTATTAACGTGTTGTTGGCTGACCAAGTTTACTTGGTTGAACATTTTTCACTCCTACAAATATTAGCTAGTTTTCGATTTTTTTATGCTAACAAATATTTTAATTAACTAGTACTTGAAATTTCTTATTACTTTTAGGTGTACAAGAACACTTCAAGAGATGAGCCGTTGTCAATTGATGAAATCGGTGACGTTCTAGACGAATGGACCATCTATGTTTGTGATAACATTTTGTAAACTTTATACTACCTAAACATGTAATGCAAGTATTTTTTAAACTTTTTATCGAATTAGATGTGTTTGGTGATTATTGTTCTCAACTAGTAGCATTATTAGCACTTCGTTAAATGATATGAAAGACTTGTGAATTTGATATGAACAGGTTTGTTTTGGGACCTATAATGGATATGATATTAGTTGTGCATTTTTTGGTATTAAAGGAAATTTATGTGCAATTCTCACATTTAAAAATTCATATTTGTTGCGGTTCTAGCATACCCGCAGCAAATAAGTTGACAAATTTTCAACTATTTGCTGCGGTTCCGAGCTACCCGCAGCAAATAAAAAAAAATTAAACTGATCTATTTGCTGCGGTTCTGAACCGCAACAAATGTAATTTCATACATTTGCTGCCCCTTCAATTGCTGCGATTCGGAACCGCAGCAAATGCCCAAAAATAACCGCAACAAATGTGATTTTTTCCAGTAGTGAAAAATGGGTCCTCAAAGAAGGTTGGGAATTTATGTTTGATTTGAATCTCCCTCAATAATAAAATATATCGAATCTATGACCGGTGATTTATTTACCGCACGGTTCGCTGACTCTCATTTCAATGAGACAGTGTTCCTGACTTTAGGGGGAGAAAATAATAAATCAGACCCAAGTACGAAAGATATTACATGGAATGCAACAGGATTATCACATCTTGATTCTAGAACAAATATATATGAACAAGAGGTGCAAAAGAATCCATTTGCAAAATGTTGCAAATCAGTTGTCTGATGCATTCACAGATACAAAGAAAGTGACAAGGTCACATATTCCTGCTATGAATGTCCCCGCCAGAATCGAAATTCCAGCAGAGAATTCTTAAAAATCTCTTGCAAATGATTCTTCTATACGCAAAAAGCGTGGCAGGCCACTTGGAGCAAAAGACATAAAACCAAGAAAAACTAAAAGACATGAATTAATCTGTGATGCCATAGATGTTCATCCTTCTGAACAAGAAAATGAACAATTTAAAAATACTAGCATAGAAAATGATATTGACAAAACAAACATCTCAAATGATGATTCAACTTCCTTAAATTAGGAAGATATTCCAGATAATGACAGAAACGTTTATAATTATGAAATTTCAATATATCATGTTTCAACTGGAATGCAATGGAATCGAAAAGATATTGATAATAATGAGATATTCGTCTATGTTGTTGCCACAAATGTTATGAATGAAAATAATGACAATGAGCCAACATCAATTGAAGAATGTCGGAAACGACGCGATTGGCCAAAATGGAATGAAGCTATTCAGGCTGAACTAAAATCACTTGAAAAACGTGATGTTTTTGGACCGATAGTCCCTACACCAAATGGTGTAAAACCGGTGGGTTTTAAATGAGTATTTGTGCGTAAACGCAATGAAAAGAATGAAATCGTTAGATATAAAGCCCGAATTGTTGCCCAAGGTTTTTCTCAAATGCCGGGGATTGATTATGAAGAAACCTATTCTCCAGTAATTGATGCAGCTACATTAAGATTTCTCACTGGCATGTCTGTTTTTAAAAGGCTGCAAATGCGCCTAATGGATGTAGTGACTACATATTTATACGGTTCACTCGATACAGACATTTGTATAAAAGTTTCCAGCGGATTCAATTTGCCTGAAGCTTATAGCTCGAAACCTCGAGACTTGTTTTCCATTAAATTACAAAAGACATTGTATGGACTAAAACAATCTGGATGAATGTGGTATAATCGTCTCAGTGAATATCTTCTCAAAGAAGGATATAAGAATGATCCAATTAGTCCATGTGTTTTCATTCGGCGATCAAATTCGGGATTTGCCATAATTGCAGTATATGTTGATGACTTAAACATTATTGGAACTCCCGATGAAATTGAAAATACTGCAAAATATCTTATGAAAGAATTTGAAATGAAAGATCTCGGGAGAACCAAATTTTGTCTCGGACTTCAAATTGAGCATTTGAAGAATGGAATTTTCATCCATCAATCCAATTACACCGAGAAAGTTGTGAAGAGATTCTATATGGACAAAGCTCATGCTTTGACTTCACCAATGGTGGTTCATTCTCTCAACATACACGATGATCCATTCCGTGCCCGAGAAGACAACGAAGAAATACTCGGTCCCGAAGTACCATATCTGAGTGCTATTAGAGCTTTAATGTATTTAGCTAATAATACTAGACCAGATATTGCATTTTCTGTAAATTTATTAGCTAGGTACAACTCTTGCCTAACAAGACGTCATTGGAACGAGATCAAACACATATTCCGTTATCTTCGTGGTACAGTTGATCTCGGCCTATTCTATCACAAAGATGCAAAAGCTGCTTTAATCGGATATGCAGACGATGGATACTTATCAGCTCCTCAAAAGGCCAAATCACAAACCGGATACGTATTTACTTATGGTAACACCGTAAACTCGTGGAAATCTATGAAGCAAACATTGACAGCTACATCATCAAACCATTCTGAGTTAATTGCACTATATGAAACCGGAAGAGAATGTGTGTGGCTAAGATCTATGATTCAGCACATCCAAAATGAATGCGGTATGAAGCCTATTACTTCCTCCGTTACATAAAAGTTGCAACATTGGAATTTCTGCGCTATTCACACATCTTACTTTGACTACGATTTTTTTATAATATATATAATAAAAATATTGTGTATAAAATATTAATAAATTTGTATTAATGTAAATTTCCGATATATTAACTTTTTTTAATGTTTACTAATACGTAAATAAATATAATTACAGTCAAAGTTGCGCGTTGGCAAACGTGAAAGTCAAATTGTTGCAACTTTTATGGAACGGATGATAGTACTTGTCACCCGACTGTGATATACGAAGACAACACTGCGTGCATAGCCCAAATTAAAGAAGGCTACATCAAAGGAGACAGAACGAAACACATATCACCAAAATTATTCTCTACTCATGATTTGGAGAAAGAATGGACGATCAACATTTAACAAATCAGATCGAGTGAAAATCCGGCTGATGTCTTCACCAAATCTTTACCCCCGAAGAAATTCATAGAACTTAGTACAGAAAATCGACATGCGTCGCCTTCAAAATTTATGTTAATTTCAGGGGGGGGGGGGGGGGGGTATTTGAATGCACTACACTATTTTTCCTTTCATCAAGTTTTTATCCCACTGGGTTTTTTCTGATAAGGTTTTTAACGAGACAGTACATCCAAATACAACGACATTATATGTCGTAATCTTTACCCCTTAATTTTCACACTCATTTTCACAATAAGTTTTTAACATAACAAATACCTATTCAAAGATGAACATTCAAGGGGGAGTGTTGTAAAATCATTAAAATAACATGTGTGAATGTCCATTCTTGTGATCAGGACACTAATCAGATTTCAGTCCTTGTAATAAGACAGATGACTAGGTTTAATGTTGCCAGCAAAATATGTCGAAATACTCTTTGATGATTCATCACCAAGCTTAGCTAGTATAAATAGGGCTTGATCAACCTCTTGTAAATTCATTCAGAAACTCAGAGATTTCATATTAAGAAGAAGTAATTCAGAGGTTTTATTTAGGGAGATTTCAACAAATAGGACTTAATCATACTAATTTTCCAAAATTAAGACTATAGATTAGGGTAAGACTTAAGTACAGGAGCTTTGACCAAATTACCCTTCGTTTTAAAACCCTGATCTGTAGCCCCACACCCCCAGCCGCTGCATCCTCCACATAGTTATTGTCATTGCCACCTCCATGGAGCCGCCGCCGTCAGGGAGCCGCCGTCGTCGTTAGGGAGCCGTCGCCGCCGTCACCGTCAGGGAGCCACCGTCATTGTTAGGGAGCCGCCGTCTAGTGAATCTGCCCGCACCGTCCTATTGTACAGACTCGTCCAGTGAATCTGCCTGCACCTCAGGCGAGTCTGTCACAGGCCTCCAACGAGGCCACACTTCTGTCCTCCGGGCTGCTGCCGCCGTGCTCCGGCGAGGTCACTGCCGCAGACACGCTCTGCCATGCTTTTACCCAAATCTAAAATCAAACTTGCAAACACTAGACATTAAGTAGTCAGTAAACAGACAATAATTTCGAATAATAACTCAATAGCAGGCAATACATAGATAATAAGTAGACAATAAATAAACAATAAATTCTGATAACAATAATTTGATTGCAGAGCAGGAAAGAAAAGAGATGGTTCGATGTTTCCAGTGATGAAATTGCTTTGAGAGGTCGTCAAGAGGCATGGCGGCAGCGGCGGAGGAGATTGAGGGAGGAGGTCACTGGCGGAGTTGAACCGCGACTTGGACGGTGAGGCAAGGCAGAGATCTGGACGGCGAGGCGAGGCGGAGATCTGGACGGCGAGGCGAGGCGAGGCGAGGCGAAGATCTGGAGGAGAGGAGACGCGAAACAACGACCGGTACGGGCTACGGCAATAACGGCTTGGGATGGTGAGGCGGAGCAACGATGAAGATAACCTCTTTGCAGATGAACGGGAGTAAAGCCTGAAGGGCAAATTTGGAAAGTTAGAAATAGATTCCCTAATCTAGAACTAAATAGGTAATATGAATGAAAAAAACATTAACAGGTATTATTTTTGTAAAAGAGCTATGATTTGATCATATTAGAAGCAAATTTCTCTTTTATTTATATATTTATCTCCTAAATATTAGTCTTCATTATCTTCATTTCATTTCACGATAACTTTATTATATTTCATTCCACCACCCTAAAGTGACACGTCAATGATAATCGAGTTGGAACTATTATGTCTGTCGAGCCAAAATTTATCCCATCATAACTTATTTTTATTGTTTTTTATTATTATCCCATAAAATTCCAATCAACGGTTAGATAAAATGTCCGTATATTCTTTTAGCACGCAGTTTTAACAGCTGGCATTTCATCAATGTCGAATTCTCTTGGGTATGATTTTCCTTCACTCTTCTCAAATTCTCTGGTTTTTCTTTTCTTCTCGTTTTCTCATCCTCTCGCTCATTAAATGTGTAACCATTAACAGAATCTGACTTCATACACACTCACGCCCTCGCCATTAATTTCAAGAACTCCTGAAGTTTCTGGATAAATTTTCTCTTCATTTTCAGCATAATCTGGGTCTGATTTCTATCAGAACCCATGTGGTTATCTCGAACCAAATCCAAGACCCGGATTCCCAGAAGCGTCTCCTCCGATTTCTCCTGCT